ATCGATATGTGGTTGTTGCAAAGGAAAGATGGATCGTATTTTGTATGTAATGATATGGTTATTGGTTGGTATAAGAATTGTATTGTTGATCGATTAATGAATCGTTTTATTGTTTGATAATACAAAGCAATAATGTTTTCTAGAAAATGATGTTCTTTAATAGAACGTATTACTGTTCTTATTTTATGTTGTGGATGGTTGGATCACAGCCTTACCAGTCTATGGAGAAGTCTGTGGGTGGATCACAGCCTTCTCAGTCTATGGAGAAGTCTGTTGGTGGATCACAGCCTTCCCAGTCTATGGAGAAGTCTGTGGGTGAATCACAGCCTTCCCAGTCTATGGAGAAGTCTGTGGGTGGATCACAGCCTTGCCAGTCTATTGAGAAGTCTGTGGGTGGATCACAGCCTTCCCAGTCCACGGAGAAGTCTGTGGGTGGATCACAGCCTTCCCAGTCCATGGAGAAGTCTGTGGGTGGATCATGCTGTTCCCAGTCTATGGAGAAGTCTGTGGGTGGATCATGCTGTTCCCAGTCCATGGAGAAGTCTGTGGGTGAATCATGCTGTTCCCAGTCCATGGAGAAGTCTGTGGGTGAATCACAGCCTTCCCAGTCTATGGAGAAGTCTGTGGGTGAATCATGCTGTTCCCATCCCATGGAGAAGTCTGTGGGTGAATCATGCTGTTCCCAGTCCATGGAGAAGTCTGTGGGTGAATCATGCTGTTCCCAGTCCATGGAGAAGTCTGTGGGTGAATCATGCTGTTCCCAGTCCATGGAGAAGTCTGTGGGTGAATCATGCTGTTCCCAGTCTATGGAGAAGTCTGTGGGTGAATCATGCTGTTCCCAGTCCATGGAGAAGTCTGTGGGTGAATCATGCTGTTCCCAGTCCATGGAGAAGTCTGTGGGTGAATCATGCTGTTCCCAGTCCATGGAGAAGTCTGTGGGTGAATCATGCTGTTCCCAGTCCATGGAGAAGTCTGTGGGTGAATCATGCTGTTCCCAGTCCATGGAGAAGTCTGTGGGTGAATCATGCTGTTCCCAGTCTATGGAGAAGTCTGTGGGTGAATCATGCTGTTCCCAGTCCATGGAGAAGTCTGTGGGTGAATCATGCTGTTCCCAGTCCATGGAGAAGTCTGTGGGTGAATCATGCTGTTCCCAGTCCATGGAGAAGTCTGTGGGTGAATCATGCTGTTTCTAAATGTCTGGGTAGTTGTGTTCATTGAGGGGTGGCTGGTAACGGTGCTTCTTGGACAGGTTACATTGTTGTTATAAATGGGTAGATGGCATCGCTGTATGATGGATGGATTGTTCCTATAGTTAGGTGGTCAGTTTTGTCGCTTGATCGAAGGGTCGCAGTTTTTGACTGGTGAAAAGTGAAGTTCTGGAACATGATCAAAGTCCAGAAGTGGACAAACAACCAAAACTCTTCGCCAGAGTTTACAGAAACCTAGATGTACCCAGAGGAGACAGGATTTGATTGAGGATTTCAGAGAACAAAGTGTGGCTGCAACCAATTGTAAACTACTTCAAAGAAAAAACAACAGATCAGTTGGTTCGGACATGTGTCAAGAGTAACACTAGATAGTCACCATAGACAGCCCTGTCACTTAGGCATAACGGAAGCAGACTAGAGGTTGACCATACACGCCATGGAAAGATGGAATATCCCAGATATAGTTATTTGACGGATGAATAGTAGCGACGATGTTTTGGTTAACTCAAGATGGCAGATAATGTTGACTGATGGATGGATCGAATTGCTAGTGGCTGGATTGAAGAGATATATGTCTTGATGCATGGCTTCAAATTGCTGTTG